GTTCTTCAATGCCAATATTAATTTTTTGGTATAATGTGAAGACGATTTGGAATCATTATAGGACTGGCGGTTAGTTAAAAGTCCGTGATAAGCTTCCTACATATAGTCTGAAATCCGTATTAATTTTACCACGAAATTTTCAACTTGCGAAATGTTATGACCAGCTCAGTCTATGAAAGATTTTATTCGTAATGTTCTATATATTTCAGTATGCATTTTCGCAGCAAACAGATTCTTTAACCGTTAAACTGCTGCTTAACTCATGCGTTTGCATTGTCGTGTTAATGTTTTCTGTGATGAGAAATGGTTTTATTTCGATCCGGCCAGAATTTGATTTTGATTTATGTTTGAAGATTCGTAAAAAGCAAAATTATGAACGGCGATAGAAAAGAAACGTTTTGTTATTTAAAGAGGTTACTGTCTGTCTATCGAAATCGAAATGTAGACAGTTACAGGTAGCCCTGCCTGAACGGTCAAACATTTTTACGGCATTCTTGGTAAAAATTATTTGTGATTGGGGCCATTTGTGATAACTTTCTTTTCTGAAGTGTATCTTGAGATGCTGATATACATTTTCATGCCGTCAGTCAAGAGAACCTCATTTACGAATACTGTATTTTAGTTGTGTCGCAGTCCTAGTTTCATGCTTTGCAACATTGTATTATGCGTTTGTCCTTCATTGACAAAATAAAAGGCGGGCGATCTTGGCCGGTATTCAACTACTTTCGATCGACGCTTTGACCCCGAATGTATTGAATTACCAACTCTGTGATTTTAAAAGACTTTGCTAACTGTTTCTGTAGCGTATGCGGCACGAATATTATCAAAGCATCGCCATGTGCGTTTTATTTTTGCTGTCAGTATTTCTTACCCTTTATGCTCATTGACTCATTTATGGCTCTTCAAGATGAGGCATATAAGTGTCGAAATCCTTACTTTAGTATTCGCACCATCGCAACATCGCTACTTATTATGGTGCGTTTATCAAGAAGCAGCCAAGTAGCACCGGCAAAGGTGACCAACTTTGGCTAGTGATGGAATATTGCGGAGCTGGATCGGTTACAGACTTGGTGAAATGTATGATATATCGCGCTTGAAAGCTGACGTCTGACTGTTCGTTAAACTCGTTTAGGCACGAAAGGATTGAGCTTAAAAGAAGAGTGGATTGCATACATATGCCGAGAGATTTTACGGGTACTTCAAAATTTTCATTGCGACATTGTGAATTTGCTTGTTTTTTGATAGTTATGATTAGTAATGAGCTGCATGTTTTCTGTCGAATCTCTAAGCATCAGATGTTAAATGCTGGTAATCATGTCCAGCTTTGATTTGCCGCTGTCTACCATATGGAACAGATGCAAGAACGATAAGTGTAAACGCGTGGGCATGCTATGATCCTAAGAGGTTCAAATATCAGTAATTCAGATCAACTCTCGCGACAACCGGTATGCATAAAGTCACCAAAGTTAGCAGAGGGTTATTCTTGCGTGTAACATTTGTTACGCGCAAAGTTCTACAGAATTTCACTCTGTTTGGTTCGTAGTAGTCGGTTGCCGACTGCACCAGACAGCGACGTCTTGAAGTTTATGATTTGTCTTAAAATCTTCCCAAACAATGTTATTTTAATCAGTTCAAATTCCCAGTATTATATGATGTTTCTGTCTGTGCTTGCTTAAGTCGCTAAGAGGATATGGCAGATGATATTCTTCAGCTATTTCAGTTATAAGTTGGCAGTGAAACCGACGGAGATCTATTTAATGCAGCCAGACTATAGAAGAATAGGTTACCTAAGGCTTCACTTTACTGAACATCCATTGCTGCGGCTGCTTCAGGACCTTCAGCTGTTTCCTAATTCTGATGGCGCTGAACGTTACCGATAGGCTTGAGCCAAGGAATTGGTATAATGATCAAATTTGCTTCTTCTTCTTCGTAACTGTTTTTGAGGCGGTGGAAAATAGTGCAGGAAGAGGAATGAATGAACATTCAGTGACCCATAGAATATCAGGTTGTCTTGACGCCTGTTTGTCGTCATTGAAATCAGTAATGGTCATTGTGCCGCCCTTCAATCCTGCTTGTTTGCGAATAGCTGAACCGCGATTGGCGTCAAAGTTTTCCTGCTTTCTAGGGGATTGCAGATCTTTTAGTTTCAGTAGAATTTTTTAGTTCAACAAGATTTTTGAGTCGATTTTTGACGTGCTTCACTTTTCCAGGGGTTGTCGCATTTGCATTCGAACAAGGTCATACATCGCGACATCAAAGGTCAGAACGTTCTGCTGACGGACAATGCGGAAGTAAAGTTAGTTGATTTCGGTGTTAGTGCCCAATTGGATCGCACAGTCGGTCGACGGAACACGTTTATTGGAACTCCTTACTGGTAACCGTAATTTTGCGTACTCGCTTTTCCGTCAGACATTCGAGAATGTTGAGGATGGCACCGGAAGTGATCGCCTGCGACGAAAATCCAGATGCCACATATGATTCGCGAAGTGACTTGTGGTCATTAGGAATCACGTCACTTGAAATGTCCGAAGGTCAACCGCCATTGTGTGACATGCATCCAATGCGAGCGTTGTTTCTGATTCCTCGCAACCCGCCGCCTCGTTTGAAAAATCCTAAAAAATGGTTTGTAATAATGTTAACAACATGTTTTATGGCACCGATACCCTAGGTCCAAAAAGTTTCATTCATTTATCGAGACCGTGCTTGTAAAAGATTATCACCAGAGGCCTTACACCGACCAGCTGCTGAAGCATCCATTTATTCGCGATCAACCGATGGAACGCCAGGTGCGAATCGCCATCAAAGATCACCTAGATCGACACCGTCGCCTCACGCGAAGAGGTTAGCAGTTCTGACGTTTGAGCTATGCCGATAGTGCTGCAGCCCCTATTTAACTCCAGTAAAGCGTGTTTCTAGTACAGCTAAATCTTTCGCCATCGACCATTAAACGATCGAAGTGAATTAAATATTGATTGATTCTGAGATTGGCCTTCTTCTTTACGGGGTTTTTCAGCACTTGCTGAATGAACTGAGATATGAGCTGTTGCTTCACAGTGATTTAATGAAGTCCAAGTTATGTCTGCATACTGAACTACCTATTTCACCTACGCAATATGCATGCGGACGACGTATTATGTGTATATCTAAGTGCATACTGTAAGCACATAACTTAATCGAAATGGGACTTCGTGTTATGACGCTGTCCTTTGCTTTTAAGCAAGCTATGTGGCTTCATATTATTTCAGCGCCTGCAGTACGTGAGCCAATCTCATATCATTTTATTGACTAAAGTAATGCTTTATCTTTGCCTGAAATGTTTAACGAGCCGGTATTTTATATGCTTTCGCAAAATAGGAAAAATTCTGTTCATCCGCTGATAGTGTGTTAATTAGCTACATTTCACGACATGGCATTATCACACTATCGTTCGTCGACAGTAAAGAAAATGATTTTGATGCATGCTAATATGCAATATTTGTTGCACAAGGTAGTAAACCTGACCTGATCTAGGCGCTGTATCTGATAAGATATCGTGAAGTGATGGTCTGCTTGAATGACCCCCTAAATATCTAGAAGCAAAGAAAAGAAAGGAAGGTGGTTGGGATGCCAGTCTTACTTATAATTC